AGGCTGAGGCAGGGGAATTGCCTGAACCCAGGAGGCGGAGGTTGCGGTGAGCCGAGATCGCGCCATTGCACTCCAGCCTGGGTAACAAGAGCGAAACTCCGTCTCAAAAAAAAAAAGAAAAAGAAAAAAAGAAAGGACAGAACTCTCTCAAGTCAAAGGAGACCAAAGCAATACAATAATAACCCAGCGCCAACGCCTAGTCCAGGATCCAATCCTCACCCAGAACTTTGACTGTTTCCTTATTTTTGAAGGGCATTATTGGCCAAATTCAAATGGAGCTGGTAGATTAGATGTTAATGTTGTATCTTTGTTAACATCTTGGTTTTGAGGACTGTACTATGGCTATCTACAGGGGAAGTGTACACTGAAGGAATCTGAGGTGATAGGGAATCCTGTCTGCATCTTATTCTCAAATGATTTAGGAAAAAAATGTGCATACGTATATTTTTTAAATGACAAAGCAAAGCAGATGCACATAATGTTAACAACTGGAGAATCTGGGTAAAGGGTATATCTGAATTCTTGGTAGTATTCTTGCAACTTTTCTAGAAGTTTGAAATTACTTCAAAATGAAATGTATTAAAAAAAAAAAAAAAGAAGGTTGGGTCAGAATGCACGTGGCCACAAATGCCAGGTAAAGATGTGTCACTTATTTTATTTATTTATTTATTTATTTATTTATTTTGAGATACAGTCTCACTCTGTCGCCAGGTTGGAGTCCAGTGGCGCGATCTTGGCTCACTGCAACCTCCGCCTCCCGGGTTCAAGTGATTCTCCTATCTCAGCCTCCCAAGTAGCTGGGACTACAGGTGCACACCACCACGCCCAGCTAATCTTTGTATTTTTAGTAGAGATGGGGTTTCACCATGTTGGCCAGGATGGTCTTGATCTCTTGACCTCCTGATCTAGCCGCCTCGGCCTCCCAAAGTGCTGGGATTACAGGTGTGATCCACCGTGCCCGGCTGTCACTTCTATTTTAATAACAATAGGGAGTCATTGAAAGTTTTTAAGGCAAAACATGATGGAATCAAAGGCTGGCAAGATGGGACAGTCTAGAGTTGAGCTTACTGTCAGGCAAAAGTGACCACTAACCAGTGGAAAAGAGGAATTTCGAGGTAATTTCCCAGATTCCAGCTGATACATGCGGAGATAGACTTCAACCTGAGGTGTGGCATCACTGACAAAGCGAATGACTTTCAGGGCATGAAGGACATCCGAGTACTGCTCCTTACGATACATCATCACCTTGGCATGGGACTCATGGTGTGGAGGCAGGATTCCTAGACAGAACAGGAATAAAGAAAAAAGGGCGAAAGACTGAGCCATCACTCCAAATCTCTTCTCTATCAAAGAAGATGCTGTGAGAAGCAACTCATCACAATAAGGCTAGAATTCACAGATACTTAAGTACCACATAGAATCTTTTAGAAATTCTCACTATAAAACAATCTTAAACGTGAAATATTATCAATGTTTAAATGGTGATGCATCATTGATAGGAAAGAAACATGAAATAACACTGCCGAAGCCCTTGAGTAAGTGCGCCACATACATTCAAGATTAAACAATGGTTTAACTTCATGTATAGCAGCTTCAGGCTGCCTTTAGCTCCTAGAGGTCTCACCCTAGTCTTTGTACTTGGCCCCTACATCTCGCCACCAACAGCTCATTGAATCCTTCTCTTCCCCAATAGTTAAAATTGCTCACATAGCATCCTATCCTCCAGGCCACGAAAGTCCTTAATCTTCATTGGTGAGGCCACCTTACATGACATTTCTGTGACATATTAAGCTCATTAACCCATTTAAATATGGTGTCATATCTTTTTTTTAACAAACAAAATGGCTCTGAGAAAACCACTAGACAGCCTAGCCATCCTGGATTCTAGCCTCAAGTTAAACAACACTAGGACTCTCAAATGTGTTTGTCTTCCTGGGCACTTGTATCCCCATCTGTCAAAGGCAGGAAATGGGATAGATAAGCATTTCACCAAATGCTTCTTCACAAAATGCTAGTCCCAAGAGATTAAAATGCCATCATCAAACAGATTGGGGAAATGATGACAATGAATTTTCATGGCTCTAAGTTTTGCCATAAAGAAAAACATTTTAGGCCAGGTATGGTGGCTCATGCCTATAATCCTAGCACTTTGAGAGGCTGAAGCAGGCAGATTGCTTGAGGCCAGGAGTTCGAGACCAGCCTGGGCAACATGGTGAAACCCTGTCTCTACAAAAAATTGGCCAGGTGTGATGGCACATGTCTGTAGTCCCAGCTACGTGGGAGGCTGAGGTGGGAGGATCATCTGAGCCTGGGAAGTCAAGGCCACAGTGAGTTGTGATTGTACCACTGCAGTCCAGCCTGGGAAACAGAATAAGACCCTGTCTCAAAAAAAAAAAAATAATAATAACCCACAAAGCAAAACAAAAACCAACCATTTTATTAGTTTCATTAAACTTAATGAGGCTCTACAGAAGCACAGACTCTGGAACAAAGTTCCTGTTTTTATATTCCAGCTCTACAATTAACTGGCTGGGTGGTGACCTTTAGGAATTACTTCATCTCCCTGTGTCTTAGCTTCCCCATATGAAAAATGAGAATAATAATACCTAATCTCATACAGTTGCTCAGATGAATAAACAAATCAATATACACAAAACACTTAGACGAGTACTTGACAAACACTAAGCTAGTGTTAAGTGTTAGCCAGTACATTTGACTATGAATCCCTCTTTGGTGCAAACCACCACCAGTTTAGTATTCTAGAGAACACCCTGGAAAACAAAAACAATAGCAGCTAACATGATACCACATTAACGTTAGAAATAAACTTGCTTAAATGTTCTCTTCCCTGAAATAAAAATTATCCTAGCTATGAGACTGTGTATCAGGCTTCCAGAAAAGTGTCTCCTACATCTCGGCTAATACAGGTTAAACAGCTGTAACCGAACCCTCATCGTACTGCTAGAGGCAGCATGTTAACTCTTGGACCTGGTTTCTAAGAGCTGATCCTAAAAGATCCCCAAGTAATCAAAACTCTGTGCTAAGAAGAGTCAGGCTGTTTCCTACACAGCACAACAGCTCTAAGCTTCCAGAGCCTTTTCCTCAAAAAATAACCATGACTTACATAATAAAGAAAGGTAAGAAGAGTAGAAGTGATGAATAAGCCAGGCAGGCTGTAGGCCAACACAAAACTGTGTAACTCCCATTAATTCCACCAGAGTTATTAATAGACACATAGCACCTCCCAGCAGAAATGGGCACTGTTGACATTACTACTTAAAATGTACCCCAGAAGGTAATGGAAACAGTAAAATTTAAGGAAAAGTACTCTAGGAAAAACTAAAATAGTTGTCACCACTTCTCCAGACTGTAACTGCACACTGACCTACCAAACATAAAAGTGCACAGAGACAGCCAAGATGCATAGCAAAAAAGTCATTATCCCGCACTTTGGGAGGCCGAGGCGGATGGATCACGAGGTCAATAGATCAAGACCATCCTGGCCAAAATGGTGAAACCCCATCTGCACTAAAAATACAAAAATTAGCTGCGCGTGGTGGTGTGTGCCTGCAGTCCCAGCTACTCAGGATGGGGGAGGAGGGGGCAGGAGAATTGCTTGGACCCAAAAAGCGGAAGTTGCAGTGAGCCAAGATCGCACCACTGTACTCCAGCCTGGTGACAGGATGAGACTCCATCTCAAAAAAAAAAAAAAAAAGTCATTAAGGAAGGCTTTCTAGCACCACTTATATTCCCTCACTACCTCCATATTATATAATCAGAGAGGGCTGCAGGCTCCTCAAGCCCTGAAAAGATATATTTTGGAAAGAAAGAGGTCTACAACCTATCTTACCGTCAAATGAGTCCCACAAATGTAAGCTCAAATCCTAGCTCTGCCACTACAGGCTATAATGCCTTAGGCAAGTTATTTAGCCTGGGAGAGTAATTTTCCCCACCTGTAAAATTACGATACCAATACCTGCCTCACAGGGGAATTCTACTATGTGCTATGTATAATCTATGTAAACTACTCAGCCTACTGACAGGCACACAGGGATGCCCAATAAGGCACAGTCATAGTTTATATTCCTCAAGGAATTTAGTCCTCATCACTATCTTACAGTTAACAAACTTAAAAATATTTTTCTAAGAAAGATCAGGAGGATGGTAATGGATAGGAATTATATGCTCCAGCAGGCTCAGCAATGATAGGGGAAAGAAAATCTTGGGCTCAAAAGGGATACTGCCAGTTACTCATAGCACTTAATTCACGTTTTCTTCCACAGAAACTAAGTAAGATCAGTTTTCCTTCTCATTCAGCCACTCACACCACTGGAATTTAATCATTCACACTTCCAGGGAGTATTAAGTCTCCAATTCCTCTCTGACGCATTAGGAAGTTATACTGCTAAAGCTGAGATTCACAAAACCTTACAAATTTAGAGCTAAAACCTAGGAATCATTTAGCTCAAAAGCCTCATGTTATAGATGCAAAAAATGAGTCCCAGAGGGGTCGTTTTCCTCCAGGTTCCCCAGCTGATAGCAAAGCCTAAACCAATTCTCCTTTCTCCTAATCTTGTCTCCTATTTTCTGAGACAAGACTATTTCTTGTCTGAGAAAATAGTGTATGTTCCTGAGACAAGATCTGGGAAGAACAGTATTGTTCTTCCTACAGTATCAGTAATAGAAAATAGTAAGCAGTAACTGAATCTCCTGGGGAAGATTCAATATTCAGTAAACAGCCTAAACAAATTCTCCTTTCTCTGATAAGATAGCAAATGATCCCATTATTCACTATTTTTGAAGATAAATCTTCCAACTCCTGGGTCTCATACCTAGAAGCACCTTCCATACCAATGCACGGTACATGGACGGGAGAGGGAACCTCTGACTAAAAGTACAAAGTTTTTCAATATCTAGAGGAAGAAGAAAACATAGTTAGAAGCTTTTCATGCTGATCACAGTATGTCAAAGCACATTTCATTTTTAAAACTGAAAGAACAGTTAAGACATTTCTTCAGAGAATATCTACCACATGGTAAGTTTAGGAGAGGCAATACTAGCCTGATTTCTAGCCCAAGACTTCTACCAACTAAGTTATTTAAAAACAATTTGCAGCTGGGCATGGTGGCTCACGCCTATAATCCCAGCACTTTGAGAGGCTGAGGCAGGCGAATTAGTAAAGGTCAGGAGTTTGGGACTAGCCTGCCCAACATGGTTAAACCCCATCTCTACTAAAAATACAAAAATTAGCCGGGTATGGTGGTGCACACCTGTAGTCCCAGCTAGTCAGGAGGCTGAGGCAGAAGGATCGCCTGAACCCAGGAGGCAGAAGTTGCAGTGAGCCAAGATCATGCCACTGCACTCCAGCCTGGGCAACAGAGTGAGATTCTGTCTAAACAAAATAATAAAAATAAAAACAATTTGCATTTTGCCGCATTGGAGATGCATTTTGCATATATTACTACATTTTCTATAACATTATCGGTAGTTATTAATTACAGGGTTTATTTCATTTAATTCACACTGCAAGCCTGTCAGGTAGTAATTGTTCTAAAAACGCAGAAACTGAAGCTCAAAGCAGTTAAATGATTTTATCAAACTAACACAGCTAGTAAGTGGTACAGTCAGCCTTCAAATCCCTGCATTTTCCAATAAAGTACAGTTACCTCCCTGACCCTCAATTCCTCTACTTATCAAAGGAGAATACCAGACATACTAAAGCAAATACTGTACAGTGAAGAGCAAAGATAAGGTGAGAAATGTTTCACAAACTTTAAAAAAGTACTCTATGCCAATAAAGTACTATCTTTTTTTTTTTTTTTTTTTTTTTTTAATGATGAAAAAACAAATAAAAAAAAAAAAAAAAAAAAAGGATCTGCAATAAAAATAAATTTTGTAAAACAGGAAAGTGTTCCAGCAAATCCATTTGAACAATTCACTGTTTTAGCCAAATAAATAATACTTTAATTTCATACTGATATAAATAAAGAAATAAAGGAGAAGGGAAAACTCTTCCTTAGAGAAGAATGCCAACTAATACATGCAGAAAGAATGAGGGAGTTAGATCACCATTTGGCCACCAGCACAGTAAAAATTGGTTCAGGCAAGAATCATTAGTTGATGGCTATTTACAAGTCTCAAAGTACTTCCCCACAGTTACTTATTAATTACAAAGTGGAAAATAGTAACCTTATAGCAGAGAAACTCAGCAGACACCATCTTACCCAAGTGATCAAAGTTAGCGGCACTAGTAATGAGTCCCATACTTCTGTGGTATTCCTGCCAGTAATGCATGACCAGAGTTTAATCATGGGGAAACATCAGACAGACCCAAATTGAGAAATGCGATCCTGGCCAGTGCTTTTCAAACATGTCAAGGTCATGAAAGACCAAGACTGAAGAACTGTTCCAGATCAAAGACTAAGACATGGAAGCTAAATGTAATGTGTGATCTGGAACTGGAACTTGGATCAGAGGAAGAGCATCAGTGAGATACCAGCAAAATTCCAATGAGGTCTACAGAGTGGCTCCCAGTATTGTGATTCTCTGGTTTTGATCATTACCTTATGGTAACATTCGAGGACACTGGTGAAGGTATTTGAGAACACTGTACTATTTTTGCAACTTTTTTCTATACCCAACATTACTTAAAAATAAAGTTAAAAATTTTTTAGAAATCGTCAAATGAGAATACTTTGAACAGTTTAATAAGGAATAGGATATTTACGGAGCAGTTTTAAATTGTCTCCCCACAAAGAGAAATAGTAATTACAAAGGGAAATTTCCAGTGGAAAACTCCAGCAGACCCACCCTTGCGAAGTGATCCAAGTTAACACTACCTCTTAAGGGGCAAATCCACACGATGTTCCTCCTGATAAGAGCCACTGAGAAGGACACAGCATCACCTACCTGATGTCCCTACAAAAAATGAATAACCTGAATCTAATCAGGAGGAAGTACCAGACAAACCTAAATTGAGGGCTTTCTTCAAAGCCTCTGATTATGCCCTTCAAAAATGTCAAAGACATGAAAGATAAGAAAGGACAGGCCGGGCGCGGTGGCTTAAGCCTGTAATCCCAGCACTTNAGACGGGGTTTCACCATGTTGACCAGGATGGTCTCGATCTCTTGACCTCGTGATCCACCCGCCTCGGCCTCCCAAAGTGCTGGGATTACAGGCTTGAGCCACCGCGCCCGGCCAATAAAGTACTATCTTTAACTACGGTTCAGTTTATTTTACTTTAGTCAACAAAAGATCTTACTAATACTGGCTTAAAATAAACTAAAATGTCAATATACAGTGCAGTCTTAGTATTTCCATAAAAGAAAATCATGGGCCAGGCGTGGTGGCTCATGGCTGTAATCCCAGCACTTTGGGAAGCCAAGGTGGGTAGATCACTTGAGGTCAGGAGTTTGAGAACATCATCCTGGCCAAAATGGTAAAACCCCGTATCTAATAAAACAAACAAAAAAAACCCGCCAGGCATGGTGGCGTGTGCCTGTAATGCCAGCTACTTGGGAGGCTGGGGCAAGAGAATCGCTTAAACCCAGAAGGTGGAGGATGCAGTGAGCGAAGATTGCGCCACTGCATTCCAACCTCAGTAACAGTCAACAAAACAAAAAAACAAAAACCATGACCAGAGCTACTACAAATTTACCCAGAAGCAAATTTATCGAGGTAATATAAGAAAACATATGGGTCCAACAGAAGAAAAAATATTATGACTTTAAGAAACATTTCAAAAACTTCTGACTCTCAGTCAAATATAAATTTGAAAAATCTGTAACTTTTCTCAAAATACACCATTCTGCTTCACCACGTTACTAAAAAATACAGCAAGTAACCAATGCTTCTGTATGTCTTTTAAGATATTTACTTCAGAACATGTGGAATTGATTGGGAACCAATGAGCTTAATTAAACATAATACTCACCCAGGCGGTCATCTTTCAGGAGAATTTCTAATGATTTCTTTTCTTCAACTCCACGAAACCCCACTTTCTCATAATATACCGAACGAAAGTTTCTCTGCGAGTCCTCAGTCATATTTCATTCTTGGAGGAGACAAAGATAAAGAGAGAGAGAGATTAAGGGGGAAGAGTGAGGCTAGAAACAAAGAGAATAATTGTCAATGATGTTCTCTACCTTTTCAATAAATCTGATGCACCCTTGCATAGGACTCAATACTAAATCTTTCCTTTTACTAGTTCTAGAACCATCTCACCTATGCATCTTGGCCAAAAACTAAGATATAAGTTAAAAGTTCTCTGAGCTGCTACAATAGATAGCACAAGGTTTATGCACTAAGTTTCCCACTATACCTATGAGTGCCTATCACAATAGAGCATTCTGTAGCTATTATAAATGTACAAAGAAAAAAATAAGTGAAATGGGAAGCCAGGCAAGATATGTCAAGCAAATTATACTTGAACAATATACACTATATCATTTTTTGTTTTTTACAAACAACATGAATTTTAAAACTATTGCAAAATGTTCGCAATAGTTAAGTAGTAGGATTCTAGATGATTATAATTTTCTTTCTTTTGCTTAGCTATGTTTTTTTATGGGCATTTTGTGAAATGAAAAATTAAGTTATATAAAAGTAAAAAGCCACGAGATTCTCCCTTATCTTTTAAACACAGTTCTATCAAAGGTTGCTATCAAAATTCGAAACCCACAACAGACAAAACATTAAATTATAACCAGAAGAGGGTAAAGAATGTAGCCGGTTGAGAGTGATCCCAAAGTCAGGGTTGAACACAGAAAAACGATTTAAAATCTGTCACACGAACTCAAAAAAACTCAGTGGCCTCAGGTTCGTTCACACTAACCTCCATAATATTGGCGGTAACTCATCCAAAAAAGAGGAAAAAAAAAGACCAAGTTAGATTAGCTTTTCAAAAACAGAAGGGACGTGATGCATTTCCCAAAAAGCACTGCACTGCCTCACCCAAATGCTTCCAGCGTCTGTGCACAAAGAGTAAATCTTTAGGTTTAAGAATCCTGAGACATCCCCAGGGAGCAGGGGAGGGTTTCCTTCCTTACTGAAAAGATATCCTCTGAATCGATTCCGTCACAGGAAACATTAGGATTCGTTTAGAAAACGAAATTCTAACGGTCCCTGAGCTTTCGGGAGCAGATGCCTTAAAAATAAAAAAGTCAGAAGCAAAAAAACGCGTAATGAGTGTGGGGATTTTTTTTTTTTTTTTAAAGCATCCAAAACAGTTGCATGACCTTACGGTCAGTTCCTGTGTCTAAGGACACCCATTCTTAAATTGCACTACAATGACAAAGGCCTCCTCTCGGAGGAAATCTTGCAAATGATATCTCCTGGCCCGGAGCGTCCACCTAATGGGAAAAGTAAAAACACCCTGGTCCAAGACCCCAGGTTCCACTGATGAATGCTTCACCTCTAGTAGTGGAAACACACCCGGGTTGAGGCTAAGTAGTCCGGGAGAAGAGAGGACGCCGTGCCCCGGGCGCCGACCGACCGGCGGGCAGGCGAGCACCGTTGGGACCCAGGGCCAGGAGGGGTGGGTCCTGCGGGAAGGAAGGAGGCGGCGGGACACCAGAGACACCTGCGCGCGCCACGCCGGCCAGAGAGGCAAAATACAGCACAGCTGCCGCCGCCGCCACCGGACGTGACGAGAACTGCACGTCGAGGGGCGGGCACTGGGCGGGCGCATGCGCAGAGGGCGCGTGCAGGAAGCTCCACCCTCACTCCGGAAAGGTCGGGCTTAGTTCCTGAAACCCCACTGGATGAAGGACTAAACTCGCCTCCGGACTGGTGTACATTTTCCCGCGCTGAGCACCGGCCCCTTGCAACCCCGCAAAATCTCGTGACCATTTATTCCGGCCGTCCGAAGGCGCGTGATTGGGTTGCGTTCCGGTCTCCAGCCCTGGAGGTTCCTGCCTAGGGGAGACCCGAGCCCTTGGGCCGTACTTAACCTGCGTGCCCGCAAGACACGGGTTTTGCTTTTGCTACTTTTCTACCCCCACCCCCCCCTTCTCCCACCCCCCACCCCCACCCCCACCCCCACCCCCTGGATATGTGGAAATAAATGAAGACCAACCGAACATGAAAAGCAAAGGCGTCAGCCACTGTCCCATGTATTTGGGGAAGGACGCAATGGCAGGCAGAGGAGTGGGGACGCTTTAGGGTGGACAAAAGGGAAGGCTCGGTGTGCGCTTACCGGAGGCTGGAGGCGGCTCCCTGGAAGTGGAGCATCGTAGGGATTGGTTAGCGGGCATATTTGCCTTTCTCCGGTTGGTCGTAACTTGGAAGCAAGGACAAAAATTAAGAAAGCTCTCAGTTATTAAGTCCTGGCCATTTGGCCGCAGTTGTTAACAGAAGTTATTGTTCAGCTTCCTAGATTGTTGCTAGAGACGGCAGTCTGGCTTCCTGCAAGTCTGATTTCGAGCAGGCAGGCTCCCCGGCTTGGTTATTGTAGATAACGGACTGGTTTTCTGGGCAGGTTGCTGCAGGTTGTGGATTAGAAGTCTTTTTATATTCGGGTGGGCTATTTGTATATTCAGCCTCTCAAGTAAAATACTATAAAATAGGAGAAAAATGAAGTTTAAAAAAATGCGAAATACCAGCTCCAATTTGTTGTTAGTAGGTCTAGCAGACACAAAGGTACTCTTTAAAGTAGCTAGTAATGCTTACAAATGCTTTCTCTTTCTGTGCTGGCCTTACTGGTCCTCGGGCTGGCTGAGCAGCAGTACTCAAGTAGATTTTTTAACCGCCAGGGGAAGTCCAGTTACAGTGCAGACAAATGTGGTATATAGGCTAGACAGAACTTGAAGAAACGTGTGGTGGTTGAACTCAAACGCTGATGCTTCTCCCAACCCCTTATCACCACCATCTTTAGTTCCTCAGCACTGGGGTACTAAACCTTACTTGGGCAGTGTTTACATTAAGAGTAAACACTGAGTTCTTCAAGTTACCTTACACAAGTTCCATCCACTTCATCTAAACCTTGGGCCAGTTACTAACTTTTACAGTCTCCTTTTCTTACCTTTAAATCATCCTCAGGGCTGGGCGCAGTGGCTCAGGCCTGTAAACCCAACACTTTGGGAGGCTGAGGTGGGGAGATCACCTGAGATCAGTTCAAGACCAGCCTGACCAACGTGGTGAAACGCCATCTCTACTAAAAATAGAGAATTAGCGTGATGGCGCACACCTGTAATCCCAGCTACTCCAGAGTCTGAGGCAGGAAAATAGCTTGAACCTGGGAGGTCGAGGTGTGTGATGGCACACACCTGTAATCCCAGCTACTGCTTAGGCTGAGGCAGGAGAATAGCTTGAACCCGGGAGGGTGGAGGTTGCAGTGAGCTGAGATCGCACCATTGCACTCCACCCTGGGCAACAAAAGCGAAACTCAGTCTCAAAAATAATAATAATAAAATCACCAATAGTGGTGATTATATACAAGGTGGGAAGGGTTAAATGGGAAAGTATTGAAGTGCTTGGCACAATGCCTGGCATGTGGCACAGTAGGGATATTTGTGGATTGGCTGTGTCAAAATCAAAAATAAGATGAGTCTCTAAATCATTTTATTTGGGAAAACAGAATTGCAGTTCAGGGCATACCCACAAACTGGGGTGATCTTCAGAAGAACAAAGAGATGGTTAGAGGTTTCATGAGAGAAATGGTATGTATTGCCTTGAAAGATAGTTCATTGACCCTGAGCAAAACTTTTAGGAGCAGGCAAGCTGTAATTTGTGAGAGAAGGTGTTAAGTAAAACTAGTCTAAGTTATAGCAGTACATTTCAGCAGCTCCTATGTAAAACAGGTCTTCAGCCACCTTGGCAGCTGGCTTTCAATATGACTCCTGAGCAGGCACTTTGTGCCCCAACTGCTTTCTCTTCTCCCTCATCTCTGGACTCTAATTTAGCTGGATATGACAAAATAACTCCAATTTATATAATCAGTTTTCAAGGCCGCTATTCGCTAAATGGAGACAGCAATATGGGTGCCTTCAGCTGCCCTTCATTCTGTTTTTTGATGAGCTGATAACAGGATACTTGGAAGCTTACCTAAGAGATAACACTCCGAGACTTTTCTCAACTCTGCAGCCAGAGTGACTCTAAAAATGTCCTTCCTCTGCACAAAATCCTTTAGTGACTCCCCGTCTCACTCAAAGTAAAAACTGAAGTGCTCACAACAGCTTACAACACCTCTCATGATCTACCTCCTCTTACCTCAACTCAGCTACTGTGAGTGACTCTCCTGCCTTGGGACCTTCTCATGTTCACTCTGCCTGCAAAACATTAGCCTCTGCTAGCTGTACTGCCCACTTCCTCACCTCTGTCTCCATCAAAAATGTCCCCCTCCCTGAGGCTACTCTCCCCCCATACCTAAAATTGCAACACTTCACCTGAATCCCAATCTCCTGTATGCAGTTCTACTTTTTCCTTCTGCCACAGCACTGATCACTTTTTCCTTGAGACAGAGTTTCACTCTTGTTGCCCATGCTGGAGTGCAATGGCATGACCTCAGCTCACTGCAACCTTCGCCTCTTGGGTTCAAGCGATTCTCCTGCCTCAGCCTCTGGAGTAGCTGGAATTACAGGCACGCACTACCACGTCCGGCTAATTTTTTGTATTTTCAGTAGAGTTGGGGATTTCATCATGTTGGCCAGGCTGGTCTCAAATTCCTGACCTCAGGTGATCCACCTGCCTCAGCCTCCCAAAGTGCAGGGATTACAGGCGTGAGCCACTGCGCCTGGCCAGCACTGATGATTTTTTATCACACTGCATTACTGACTTATTTATTTTAGTTTTTATTGGATCTGTTCTCCCGCCAGAAGTCAGTTTCACAAGGTGAGGGATCTTTGCTCTGGTAAATGATGTATCCTGAGTCCATAGAACAGTGCCTGGCACACCGTAAGTCCTTAATAAAGACTTCTAAACAAATGAAAAGGGTTGTCACACAATGTGAATGGGTGGCCATTCTTTCTTACAGTTGCATAGTTGACTTGTGAACTGTTAGCATTAGTAGTCACTGGACTCTTAGCATAACACAGATTATCGAATGGAGTTGACAGGCAATGAAATATTTGTGGAATTTAATTGAAATAAGAATTGTAAAAGTCACCGGTGTACTTCACTGTGGCAGGCATTGCTCCTTTCTGACCTGTAATATTTCTGCCCTCTAGTGGCTAACCTTTTCTGCTAAAAAAAAAAAAAAAAAAAAAAAAAAAAAATTGTACCGTACTGCTAGTCACAGAATCAAATCTCAAGGTTGAAAGAGACTTAAAATTCAGCCAGTCCCATTAAATGTAGTGCAGAGAGCTAAGCTTCCAGGCATAAAAACGGCAGCATATCTTTAGAAGTGGCTTCCTATCTTTCAGCTTCTAAATTTACTTTGGCAGAATAGTAATTGTCAAATACCACTGGCCTCAATCCTTGTGCCTCTTTTTCTGTAGGAAATGGAGACTCAGTGAGGTTATGGTTGTAAGACAACTGTCTGCATGTTGAATCGCCATTAAAGTGAATGTAGGAAGAATCCCATCACAGCATAATTGGTGAACATATACATTCAGATAGTTTATCTGTCAAACCACATCTCCAAAACAGCTGAAGAGAGACAAATCTGGATGGTCCTGTTCACTGATTTCCTCCTTCATTTTGGTTATTTGCCAGAAAACTGGCTCAGCAGGTCTGTGTTAACTCAGTCAAATAGGCAGAACCACCTCATTGCTATAAATATGTGCAATATTAAGAGCATAGAGATCAGCCTTGACTGGAATGTTGGTCACAGCGCATGTAAACCTCTATGCCTGGCCTAAACTGTGGGATAATTCGATTCCAGGAATGGCATGCAAGGTACTACTTTCTGCTTGTATGGTTTTCCTCTAATAAACCCAAACTTACACCTGTATTACTTAACAGTGGTGTGTTTTCATGGCCCTTTCTAAGCACGCATAACTGTACCCCAGAAATGCCCTGTTACAGAGAGGAAACATTGGTTCACCTGCCAAAACTGGTGGCATATGTCTTATGTAGATGTGGTTATAGACTACTGTCCTGGTGTATAGAAACCTCCGTTACAGCCATAGGTTGTCTAGTGTGTATGGGGTCATTTAACGAATAATGTTTCCATTAGTCCCAGAGAATTGTCTGACCTTGGTCCTGTCTTATCTTTTGCATGAATCTTTGATAGTCCTAGTGTCAAAACAGCAGGTACAATCAGCAGGGTAGAAAAAGCAAACTCTATTTTCAGTGAAACTAGAAAAAAATATTTAAAGTAGGTGAAGAAGTTTCCAAAAGCAGGGCACGTGGAAATCAAGCAGGGCATGTGTAGGAAAAAGGAGAGAGAAAGAGAAAGGTCCAAAGCTGCAGATCTCAGAAATAGCCCTCAAAACACACGCTTCTTAAAGGTGAGGGGTTTACCTTGAGAAGCAGTATGTAAATCTGTCGTGTGCAGTCCTGGGAATAGACCAACCAGGCTGGTGACGAGGGCATCTCACAGGCAAGTTAGATTCTGTGATGCAAAAAACAGGCTACTCTACTGAAGATAACAGTGATAAAATCTGGACGAAATATAAAAAACAAGTACTTGTAGCTGTTTTAGTGTAACTGAGAGCAGGTGGATTCTTGTGGGATGTTGAGTTCTAAGGGAATGGAACAGCATCAGGTAAGTTTCCCATTTTCAAAGCCACTGTGGGCTCACCGCTTGGCCC